TCGGCGCATGCGAAAATTCATATCACCGCGTTCAAGGGGGAGGCAGAGAGGCCCCGGGTGGTGAAAGGGAGACGAAGGGGGTAGCGAAAAAAAAAAAAAAAAAAAAAAAGGGGGAGAACGACGAATCGGCGTGTTTGCAAATGTTCGACGCGTGGCCGCGACGCCGTGATGGAAGAAAAAAATTGCCTATTTCAACGTCCAGCATTTTCCCAGGCGCGCCAGCCTCCCACCAGCCTCCCCCCCCGCGCCGCCCGGTAATCTAAATTGCGGCTTGCATGCCGACGAAATATTTCCGGTGCGTGTACGATGACCGCGGCTACAACATCTCTTCTCGCTTGCAACAAAACGCTTTTCGGCTTTTGCGAGAATGCGAGACGTAACGTCGACGCGCGATACTTTTACGCCCTCCCTCTCTCCCCCTAACCCCTTCACCCCTTTCCTTGCCTATTTCATTTATTTGTTACTTTTTTCTCTCTCTCTTTTTTTTTTTTTATACGCGACACGACTCCCGGACCAAATTTATGACAAATTTCTGGGCTGCCTGGTAATTTTAATCCACGCGAAATCTGTCTCGTAAAAATATTTGCGAGAAATATTAATGCGAATTTTGCGTCGCGCGTTATTCCGCATTGTAAACCGAATAAACGTCACCGATTTCGAAATCGGATGTCGCGACGTAACGATCACTCCCAGCGATTTTACGTATCTATTGATTTTCGAATTAAAAAATACAGTTTTTGCGCGCAGTCCCAGCGCATATCTCTCGTTAAATTTTATATATATTTTTTTTTTTTTGATCGAGCAATAAACTTAATTCCTGACGAAATTCGTTTCAATCTTCGGCCTCTAGATACCTTAATTTACCTGCTGGATCTGCCGAACGTAACGTCATTTTGTCGCGAACCACTGGCCACAAAATTCGCTGGATCGACCGGTAGATGTATTTGTTGCAACGGTCGACACAACGGCGCTTTTTATCAGCGTGGATCTTCTTTCGTGTCGCACGCACGGAGAAAAAAGGGTTACGATTGTAATATACTCGGGCGAGGAGGAAAAAAAACGTGTTGTTGCTTGGAAAATCGGTGAAGTATTAGCGTGCTCGTGTCACGCGAAGAATGAACGCCAACTATTTGTATGCCGTTTAAGAGACTCCCGCGAAATGTTGCAAGGAGTCGAAATGGCGATATTTATAGATAGGAATCGAAATCGCGATATTTATAGATAGCGTTTATATTTATTAATAGTTTGATCATTAATATTTCGCATCGATACGTTCGTAATAATAGCAATGTTTTATTGCATCAATATAATTGTGTGTCATTGGACTCTTGAAACGATATTTAAAAAAATGCTTGTATTTAAAATATAAATTTTAAATTTAATTCTTCTATATTTCGATATCGTTATTTCGATATATCCTATTTTGAGAAATCACCATTTAAAAAGTTCTAAAAAAGTTTCCTATCTATTTTCCTATTTACATTCCTCCGAGAATCATTTCAATTTTATTTTTCATTTTTAAAAATACTTTTGATTTTCAAGAATTTGCTTTCGATTTAATAGCAATTTTATCCGGCGCCTATCTGTTACGATAACGATAATAATTAAAACACGCGTGGCCTCGCGTGTAAACGTTTCATGCTCGTTATCGTTAGCGGAGACTTTACGCAGTTGATACACGCGGTATCTAATAATCAATCAAGTCTGATAAATAAGATCCCCTTTTGTGTCAAGAAATTTCATGTTTCTTATCATAAACGTACGTGTTGTTTACGATAGGATAGATCGTAAACACCCTAGTTACTCTCGGTAAACAAACAACAAAGAGAAGTAATTTCATCGATTCTCCCGCAGGAGAGAGGGGAGGAAACGACGTTCGCTAAATCGGAGGAAGAATATCGGAGGAATTCGCGATAGGTTCTCGCCGAGGCGAGGAGATGAAGAATTCACGGGAAAACACGTCGTGTATGCCGACAAAGGTGCGACGAGAGGCGCGATTTATTGGATGAAATGCAAATTGAATTGTAGTTAGCGAGAGGACGCCGAGAAACGACGCGAGTAAATCGTGCCACCTTTCCTCCCCCGATATACCCCTCCCTATCGTTCCTCCTGCCCACGAGGAGCTGCTCCATTTTCTCCCTCGCGTTTTCTCACCCCGTGTTCTTTTCCCGATAATTCGCACATAAATTCACGACAAATTGAAATAAAAACTGGGTCGATCGAAATGCAATTTACCCGAATGCACACCGCGCGGCCAGGGGAGTCCAAGATCGCTTACGAGAGCTCGAGGGCCAATCACGCGCGGGTGCGATTTTCCCCGCGCGACCCCCCCGCCGTTAATTGCCTCTACTTTGCATCTATTTCTGATTACCGCGTTCGGCACCGACTCGTTACCGAATTGTCGGTAACTCAACCTACCGACTTTTCTTTCGCGGAGGGAAATTATTCCCTATTTATATCGATCGTGTTCCCGCTAAATCTACCGTTTCACGCTCGTACGCGCGTGCGATTATTTCGAGAATTTGCATATTTGGGGAAATTTATCGCAGTATTCCGGTTTTTAAATGGCGCCTTTTACGGCTACATCCATTATAAGAATACACGTTATAAATAAATGACAGTGCTTTCGTCACGATTTGCATTCCGCGAAAGAAAACATATAGTGATGATTATTTGTCGGGGGGAAAACTTGAAAATAAAAACGAGATTTTGTTGTCGTAAAATTTAAAGAAAAAAATATTTGTTTGTCATTATGATAAATATGCTAAATTTCCCCTTGTTTCCCCTTTTATTCTCCCGTTAGAAACTTTATGCCGTTGTTCTGACGTGATGCAAATCTACGTTAGATATTTTATTACTTTATTATTGACTCAATTTATTCGTAGAATGAAATACTTTGAAATTATTATAAATCGCCAAGTTTATATGCAAACGTAACATCGTATAAAAAATACTCACACGAGAGTAAACATATACATGAGAATAATATTTAACTTGCAAACAATTTCTTTTGAAAGTTACCGAAATGTGAAATGTGTAATTTTCAAGTTAAATCTAATACTTTTGTGTGCAGAAACTTGTCACTTTCAGTAGTCGCTGCTTTTCAGTTTAATTTTTGCAAATTTGCGAATAAATATATAAATTTAATTGCTGTAATAATGCGTGAATTTTCGTAAATTGTGTTACGATTGTCAAAAACAAAACCTGTAATCTTATATTAATATGTACATATAAAATATAAGGTTGCAGTGGAAATTAATCAAACATTTATTGACATTTATATCGCCAGAAATAAATATATGCATATGTGTATTTTGTTATGCATATCGCGAGTAGAATGTTGTGGCTGTCGTGACAGATGATTTTTCATTGTATCTATTATTTATCGAAAAAATAGCATTTATTTTTAATATAAATTTGCTGGTGAGTTCAAGTGGATATTTTTGTAAAGTTAATAAATGGATAAAAAAATGCAACGATTCAGTAATAAAATCACGGTAGGTTATACTGAAAACGTGAATTAAATATTGCAACCATCGTTGCATACAATAGTTGGAATCATTTCGAGTTAATTAAAGTGCACTATGGAAATTGAAAATCGTCAGCCGCAATGAATGTGAAAGCTGGGTAACGTCCAAAAATTTATTTTAATTATATCAATTATCAATTACTTTACTTAAAGTTCAATATAAAGTCCATTTAAAATCCACAGCACATTCATTTAATGAACGAACATGAAATTCAAAGCACGATCGCGATTATGTAATTACATCGATTTGAAACGAAAATGATAAAAACCATCTCTTAATGTAATTATTATTGGGATGCGCGTGTTAATGGTGTACCAATTAAGAAATTCTGTATCTCGTGGAAATGTAATATTCTATTAAGCATATATATGTTACACGATAAAAGCGTTTCTTTTTGTAGGAATCTAGAATAGTTAAAAAAGTTCGTATAAAAGTTGAGAAAAGAATTCACATATAAAAGATATGAAGACTAATTTTTTTGCGATACTTAATTTCAATCTCATTAAATTGTAATTAAAACTGTAAATTAAAACGCCATTAAAACTTGTGAAATATCTTTATAATTAGAAAAAAATGCTAAATATCTGCTGAAGTGTTTTTTATAAATTCGATTAATTGTGACTATCGCGATTCAATATCCGTAATTCATATACTTAATAAACTACTATTCCCATGCTTCTCGAATATCAATATGTTTGAGTACTTGTGCGATGCATTATTTTAATACATGTAACATTTTATAGTTATTTAATTTACACACATGCAATTATATGTAATTTTTGAACATACACACGTGTTATCTTCAAAACTTTAACTAAAATAACTGAAATAATAATTCTTTTAACAACAAAGCATTCTATAATCCCGCTTTCATTCATCTTATTAAATCTCACGATAAAGTTGCAAATAGAATTATTACGACAACAGACCTTTGTGTAAAAAGTGTTTCTTATCCCTCTCCCTGTTGACAGTGATATATCGAAGTTATGACTCTTACTGGCGGTAAAAGACGGAAAGTATGCATAATCGGATATTTCATAAGACGAGTTTAGCCATAAGCATAATAGTCGATTAATAGCAATCACTATGAACCGCGTATTTGCGTGATGCCGCTGGCATCTTCACGCTCTATATGTCGAAGGCATGCCGCGAGAATTCGCGGACCAAACGGAAACGCACGGATTCAAGCGCACATTCGGAGATCGATATGTCGCATTCCGTTCTAATAACATCGACGGTATACCGACAGTCCATCCGACCGATGCTTATTAAGGACCGTTACTCATTAAGGACCGTTTGCGATAGATGCGGCGACATATTCCGTTAAAATATTGATTAACGTCAATGACTTCTTCGCGACGAGTTTCTTCATGGCGAACAAATATATTATTCATCGACGAATAACTGGATAATCGGATAACCATAAGATTTATTCAAAGCTCCGGGATGTCTCTAAGAACTTTCGCTTACCTTGTTTTTAGATACGATGAGCGCATTTCAGTAAAATCTCAATTTAATCCGTCCTGGAAACAAAAAGGATAAAATAGTATAAATATTACAGTATTAAAATTATATAGTAAACATATATAGTATAAAATATAAATATATAGTAAAAATTATATAGTAAAATTGCATGAACTATACTATTTATATAAATTATAAGGATATTATATGAATATTGTATAGTATTAGAATGACTCATGGAAAAATGTAATGATTTGAAATTATTCTGATTGATGTTATTTCAAGTTTTTTCTGAGTCGATCTTTTTATTTAATATTGTTATATTGTAATTATTTATTTTAATTTATTTTCTCAATTTTTAATCCTTTGTAGCAAACAAATTAAAAAGTACAAGCGCGTGGATTAATTTATTTTGTGCGTAATGTTGATATCCGTATAAAAATAAACGTAATGATGGAAATAAATACACAATTCGTTTAATCGCTCTGCAAGAAACAAGTCATTAATATTTAAATTTCAATCAGTAGCAATCAGCAGCAGTATCGCCGGATGAATCGAAAATGCCACAATAAATTCTCACAATAAGTGATAATGCCAGATGCTGCATTGCATAATAAGGAGCGCATCTTTGCTCGAAGAAACCAAGGACCTGGAATCTTCGATCTAATTTCATAGCAAGCAAGCTGCGACATGTTAATTAGCAAATTCTTGCCAACTGACTCGAATCAACAAATTCTTGCACACAATATCGAGCGCCAAATGTCGCACAATGCGACTGAGTGCACACACAACTTGCAACAATGTCTTTTAATTAATTAATTGTATTTTTCCTCTAAACCAAATAATGCCATATATATATATATATATATATATATATATATATAAATTTATATTTTTTAATTTTAATTTTCAATGTATCATAATATTAATATAAATAACTATTACAATAAATCATAAAAATATAGCATTTATTATATTTTTAAGATAATAAATGTTTCAAATAAGATTATAAATAAATAAGATTATAAAGAATGTTTCCAAAAATTGGAAACGAATGGCAGCCGCTTTGCTGATGCATGTGAATCTATTCCAAGTTTCTAGCAACGGAATATCTGTAATAACAGTAAACTTAGAATATTAATCATGCAAGCTTGATATTTCATGAGGTAGATCGTGTTAATTATGTTCCTATTTGAATATGCTGCTGTAATGAATACGGGATTCTCCGTATGCAAATCGACCAGTCAGATAATGCCTATTAATCAATGATACGGCTACGTTAAAATTGTCTTTATTATATAAAACTTATTTCATATTCATAAACGTATCGTCATGTAGATTATTTCGAACACAGGTTTTTAAACGCAAAGTAGTTTATTATAAAAGCAATGTATATTTTTAAAAAGCATCGAAACTCTATCTATCCTTTTATCTCGAAAGCATCAACCTTCATCGCGATTATTTTCGAAAACCACGCTGGTCTCGGTAAAATTTCATGGAAACAAGCTGCTCCAGGGTCGAGAAAGAGAACGCGCGCTGTATAAAGTTAAAAGAGTTTCGTATGCATGCCTGATGGCTCGTTGAAATGGAACATTCGATGTAATACAATCGTCGTGTTTGCGCTCTCATGCTCGATTCCCGTATATATCCTTTTGTCGCCTGTTTACCCGTGTTCTCTTCACGGTCTCCTCATCCGTACTTCAATATCTACACGACTGCGAAAACGGATCGTGAGATTGAGAGCAAAACTTTTTAACTACTTTTAACGTACGTCGCGCTTTTGATGGGCAAGAGTGGGAACAGAGCGTAAAAAGAAGAAAGATGAGAAGCAGGAAAGGAAAGAAGAAGAAGAAGAAGAGGAAAGAAGAAAAAGTGGAAGTAAGAGAGGTCGACCTAACCTCATGACCCTCATCCTGGAGCGAAGGGTAATAGCATCTCTCCTGCCAAGGTATAAGGATGAGAAACAACACGACGTCAAAACGCCTTCTAATCGCATACCGTTCTCTCTTCGTGGGAGCGTCCAATCCCACGACTTGCAAGACCTCAGCATACTAAAAAAAAATTTAATAGTCATCTGCCTAGGGGCCTGAGAGATTTTGCAAGCGCGAGAGCAGGATGGAAGCAAATTCCGTCGATTTTTACGATGTCGGAGCACGCTCGAATTATACCGGTAGCCCCAAACCTGGATTTATCTCGATATATAGTATATCGAGAATATTCTCATTATCAAGCTTGCCATATCGGGACACAGATATTTACAAACTTGAATATTTAAATATAATCGCGATTTAAAATATTAAATAAAAATAATGCGTTTCGTTTAAACAACGAGAAGTGAAAATTACAGTATTATATTATAGCCGAAATAAACCTTGTTATATTGATGATATCGCTCGGTATTATCAATATGAGCATTAAATTAATTTTGATACAGAGACAATGCGACATATATAATACCGATTGTCGGACGTGCACCGAATTATCAGTGTATTAATAATCAGTATAGACACATTATCAATGAACTAGTTGATTACCATCGTGCATGCGTGTGACAATCCATCTATATCAATCAATGAGAACGTCCGTCCAAAGTAACGCAACGGGTCGTGCACTTGCGTTGTGTACTTGAAATTTTTCTAGGGTCAACTAACGTCAGTTTGTTCGGACAGATGACATCTCCGTTATCGACGCCATTGTAACACACTTCATTTTCTGAGTCCCTCTCTCTCTCTCTCCCTCCCTCTTCCTCTTTGCTTCTCTCTCCAACGATGCATTACACGCATGCAAGCGGAAGACTGTCAATTCAGTCAATACCGGCCATGCATAGCAACGACATTACTTAATCTAGTAACGTGTCCCCACGCGTGAAGGTTTCTATTTAGAGAGTTTGATGATGTAGTCAAATTCGCGCATGTATAGTAAACAAGTTTCTTTATAATATTTCAATTATGTCAATTATAAAAATAATTGAAGTAAAAATTTCAAGTACGTCTTATTGTTCAATTTGAAGAATGTCTGCAATAAATATAATAAATATTATAAACGTAATAAATATAATAAATAATAAAATTGAAATAATTGAAGTAAAAATTTCAGGTACGTCTTATTGTTCAATTTGAAGATTGTCTGCAATGAATATAATAAATATAATAAATGTAATATATATAATATATATAATATATGTAATATATGTAATATATGTAATATATATAATAAATAATAAAATGTATTTTTATATAAGAATGATTTTATCGAATTCAAATCTGTAGTGATATATTTAATGAGACGTTTAATACATGCGTGAAAATTATACATATTATTTTATGTCTCTTTCTTTCTTCTTAAATAAAAAAAGAAATCTCCGAACTTGGAAAAATTGATCTTGACAGTCGGAAAGTTGAGACTTTACTGTCTCTTGTAGGTGCAACGCGTGTACCACGATATCTTATGGCGCATTCGTGAGCACGAAGGGTCAGTAGCCTCGGGCGTGCTTGCGAACGACTCCGTGGCCTCGCAAACTGGTTTAGCAAAAGTCAAGATCTAGATCGCGACCTTCTTACAGCCGTTCACGACTTTACGCGAGCTCGCTCGGCATCTTAATACCAATATGTGCGCGTACGAAGTGTTATAACAGCGATACAGAGAATGGGAATGTTTTGTTTCCTATGCTAACAAATGCCGTTAAATATTAATGAATACGTTGAAAGAGCCGTATGTAACCTTGTAAACAATGGCGACGGGTTGTGCTTTTCATCGTGTCACATATGTGTGTATCGTGAGAACACAAATAAATATAAATCATTAACGAAAAATATAAATATACAATTTACTCTGATTAAATTCTGATTACATAATGATTAAATTCTGATATTGTATATTATATATTTTAAAGAGAGATCGTTCGAAAACAGATATTTACCCAAATAATTTACATAATAATCACACAGATAATTTATATAAAATACAGAAGATTAAAATCAAAATATATTAATATAAATTAATATGTTATCAAATTAATCTGTCATTTATTTTGAATCGCTGTTAATTTTCAAATGACTATGATATTGAATGATACTTAATAGGCTTAAAGAAATTACCGTTAACGATTCAAATACATCGCTAATGACATCATTGTGAAGATCGTTACGTAAACAGCTTAGGATTATACAGCTGTCTCTCGGCATAATTTCTCTTTTGAAAATTATTTTTCATTAAAATACCCATTTTAATGTTCCTGTGAATCAATCAATTATTATAAAACATTCCTCCTTCTCTCTCACCTGCTTATTTTGTACAACTGACTGTGTTCTATGAAATATAAATAAATTCACTCAGGCATGAACAGTTCGTTATCTCCTAATGATTAACAAATTAATAATCCATTACAAACTATCAACTCAATTTACTACAACGTCAATCAGCTGAACTAGGTTCCTGTAAAGGACACGACACATTTTATCGCGACAAACAACTTGCACGTTACTTCGAATAGTAATAGCACATTATGTTTGTTAGTTGCACCACGTTAGCGACATTTACGACTTCCGCGCGACACTTCCGTCGTAAAATACGACCACGAAGTTACACCGTGTTCGACAAACCGTCCTAATTACTCTTTACATTAATAGTAACACGTTAATATCAACGGCTTGCCACACGCGTGGCAAACAACGCATCAAGTCTTTGCGGCGGCAGTTTAATTCGCAGCCGTGTCATACGTCCTTCGTGACAGTCGCAAAATATTCGCATTGTTACGCATGTGTCTGACACTTTTGACGAACATCTGCCGCGCTCGATTAAGTAGACGCGCGACTATAAACTAACAAAATAAAGCTGCGCTCTGCACGTAATTCTTTCATATCGAGTATATTTTTATAATTATGCAGTAGCTTTAAATAAGGTGATTAATTTTTGACGCGTTGATCTCTCCTTTTAATTTTTTGTGATAGTTAAATAACGAGAGAATTTTTCAATTTATTCTTCAGCAGTCTTAAACTTTCAGAAAGTAAAAAGACATCGATTTTTTTGGTTTTCTAAAATAGACTAGACCTTTAATCGT